CACATCTTACCCCAGTTCTAGTTGTGGTCAGTGGAAGAGTGAGTCGGCGCTAAACATCTGCTGGAGAGCGGTGGCGAAGCCTAAAGTTTGCAAGCGGTCCGCCTTCAGCGGCAGGCAAACAAGCGTTTGATTTGACTTTTCTAAATCTGAAAGCAGTTCTTTGAACTGGCCACTGACCAAACTGCAAATGTATTCTGATGTCGCAAACAACTTTAAGATGTAATTTGAAAAGATGTTTCTATTCAGCTGAGTAGTTTGTTTAGGAGATGGTAATAGGTTTGTTGGTACCCAACAGCCATTACAGGCTTTACATGATGCAAAAATAAAACTTAACCATTTCTCTTTTTTTTTTCCTGTGAGTAATCCACAAGCAACAAAACTCATTGGTTTACTCAGATTTTATAGCTCTTGGGTAGAAAGATTTTTTCTTTTTCTTAATTCTTGCCAAACAAACACCATTGTTGCTTGAGATAACACTGCAACGTTTGCGTGCAAAGCAAAACAAATTAGGATCAGAAGAAGAATCTAAAGAAATGTTAGGCTGCAAACTGGAACGACAGATCGTAGAAGGAAATCTGTATTTACACCACCAACCTCTTTCGCCCTCATGTAGGGGTGCACTGATTTATCACCGCCGATTCCCTTAATTTCGGGGGATCGGCCGATGCGTACACGTAAAGCCGATCTCATCTACCTCGGTCTAAAAAAATCAGCTGCTGTCCCATTTTACTCTCTGGTGAGACGAGAGGTTTGACTGACACCAGGCCCACCAGGTCGTGTTTGCAGTTAACGATAGTCACCTCACTGTTGCCGACTTGGTGACTTTTGATATTTAGTGACATTTCAGACAAACATAAATTGGTACCAGCCAAAATCAGAATCGGTAAGCCAGGCTTTTTAAAAGATTGATAGTCTGTGATGTGCCTGAGAAGTGCAATCGGCGCACCGCTGACCTTCGATTTTGCTGGACAGTGATTTCTCGCCTTATACAAGACCAGTCTACAACTGTACTACGCTAAACCTGTGTAGACATGGGTGATATTTAAAAATATATATTGAAAAAAACAATTCTTTGAGTCACATTTCCACAGAGAAAAAAAAAATCTAATACTGAACCGCAAATAGGTGGTCCACTGCATTTAATCAGGGGACGAAATTGTTTTATTTTTTTCAAGTTATCCTACGAGCCACAGAGTTGTATGTTAAATGGAAAGAAACGCTCTGTTTGCCTCTGTTTCTACAAATACACAATAATCCCTTCTGCCTTTTTGCTGTGAATGATCTGTGTAAAATGGTCTTATCTGGCCGCAGCACAGAAGTTTTACTGGTTTAAAAAAAAAAAGAGAGAGAGAGAGAGAGCTTTTTATGAGACCCGTTCGTCACCCTCCCCCCCTCTTAAAAAAAGAAAACGCAGTGAGTTACGGTTGGACTCTCCCACTCAACACATGTGTTTCTGTTGTCCTCCGTTTCGCACATACTCCCTCATTAAAAGCATTGTGGAGACCCTCTTGTTCTCACCCTTTCTCTTTTTTTTTCCCCCCCTTCACCTTTCTCTGCAGTCCAACTCGATGAACACACCCGAGTCTCACTGCTCTATTCATGCACAGCTGTAATTGGGAACGTATGTGTTGGGAAGAGAAGACCTCTGGGTCTGTGTAGCCACCTGTCCTTGTGTTAATGGCCTTTGTTGCCTCACTCAACGTTTTTTGTATTTTTGTCTGAGAAATAATGTTATATTAATGTGACGATCGGATCAGATCGGGTCTCTTGGCTGTTGTGACATTGACTTTCTATCAGTTTTGTTGGAAGCTTTATCATTTACCGTTCCAGGAACAAAATAAGGACATCTTGAGCCTTGGCTTGTTAGTTGAAGACGGTAGAGGGGGACCATTTTACCACTTTGTTCATAACTGTGATGACCAGATCTGTAGCTGTTGCTTGGCTCTGAGTGCCCCAAGTGAGGTACAAGTATGGGGATTTGAAGTTTATGGATTATTGTAATACACTTATTTCTTCACTATTGAATGTAATCAGACAATTTTAATGTATTGTGCTAAAAATATGTCAATCGTGGCGTATGTGACATGTTTTTAACTTGTTAAATGAGTGCGAGGCTGTGGCGCTGTGTAGCTCTCATGTGGTTGAGGAGAAACTCTAGTTCTTCACGATGTTGTCCTGGATTGGATTCCTGCTCACATGTCTTCCCCTTCTCTCTATCCTTTCAGATTACTGATCAGCAAAGGCTAAAAAATATGCAAGAGGCTGCTGTGTTTTTCTTTTTCTTTTTCTTTTTTTTATTCAGTCAAGTGACCTAGCAAAAGTATTATATTTTGTTCTTTTCTGTGAAGTTGGTTACGATTTTTCTCACGATTCCATCAGGTAAAAGGTCAAAGAGCATTTCTAAACGGATTTGAATCAGTTTGCACAATGGTGTCAGTTTGAAATTGAGATGACAAAACACTAAAGACTTCAAGAGCTGCATCTCAGACTGTTCTGACGATGAAAAGTTTGCCTTATGATTGCTATTGCAAATTCATCCAAGTTATTAGTTTGACTATAATTAAGATGATAGTATGGGCTGTTGCAATTAGATTCATAGAGCTCAATTTGAAGTTATTTATACAATGGTATGTATGTTTTCATACTGATGCTAGAAAACATTGTTTTGGCTACCCTGGCAACAATAAATAAATACAGATAAAGTCCTATAGTCTATTAAATTACACAAATGAAGAGTTAAGCAGACAAGTCAGGCCACCCTGAAAAGCCCAAATATTCAGCTTAATGTTAGCCCTCAGTCAGCTAGTGGCAGGCAGAACAGAAGAGGTCTGGTGGTTTCCTTCTGGTTGTTTTGTCATGCTGTTGGACAAAACCTGGTTTGAGCATTTATGAAGTCCAAAGCTGCACTAAACGCCCAGTTCCCTGTGGTGCCAGAAACATGCCTGTTATATGTTTACTGCCTTCTGCTTTAAGTTGGAGCGACACATCTGAAATGATCATAAACAATCCCAAAATGACCAATCTGTAATATGCATCATTTTAATTTGGTAGGTCAGTACTTGACAATAAAAATATGCAATTGACATTTGCCAAGGATTTGGTGTATTTTTCTCAGTCTGTATCACTGGCCAAAAATGTGAAACCGTACAAAAGTTACATTTATGCGTTACACTGCATATTTCGTGCGTTTGTCGTGAACATTTTAGTGTCCCCAAGTCGGGGCCAAAGCAGAGCTGTCCGGAACTACAGCTTTTAGTTTGACGTCGGAAGCATTTGCATGTAGAAAATGCAGATTAATGAAGGCGGGGAAAGTAAACGATGAGTTTAACAAAGAAGAGCCGCTCGGGGGGGGGGAGGGAGATGAAAGGTGGGAGGCTGAGCAGAGCTAGAGGAAGGAATTAAATCACAAATGATGCAGTAGATTAATGAGGATTGTACTGCGAGATGTGTCGAAGCAGGTTAATCATCTCCCCTGAGACATAATTTCAGTGTTAGACACCAGCTTAAGAGGCGAAGTAGAGTTGGTGTGTTAACACTCTTGTTTTACAAGAGCACTGGCACACAAGTTTGCATTTTGGGGCTTGTATTCAGGGGTTTTCCACCAAAGATAACACCCTTTAAAATAAAAAAAACAGCTCAATATACATTTTAGTGCTTTTCGTATACTAGTGTTTTGGGGATTGATGCTGGCGTTTCAGGACTTTTATGAGCCCCATGTGTATGAAATGAGACAATAATGTGATTCAACGGATTTGTTCTAATTAACCGACTTTAATGCACAAGCTGAGGAAATGGCTCAGAGGACAGACTTCAAAATACTTCTGTTGTTTTACGAAATTATTGAATAACTTGGCATCAAAGTGCGATGAAGACCTATTGTTGTGGTCTGAACCATCCAGACCACTGAGGTCTTTTGGTTCTGGCCTACTCTGCATTCCCAGAACCAGAACCAAATGCGGAGAAGCAGCACTCGGTTTTTATGCTCCAATAATCTGAAACAAACTTCCAGAAAACTGTAAAGATGCTGAAACGCTGAGTTTATTTAAATCGGAGCTACAAACGCACCTATTCAGAGTTGTTTTTAACTAGTTATAAGTGGACCCACTGATCAACATGTCGGATGTGTATTTGCTTGATTTGACAAAACGTAATGTGTATTGCTTGTTTCTTAATTAGCAACTGCACCATGTTTTTATGGCGTAAAGCACTTTGATGCGTCTCGTTGCTGAAACGGCCTTTACAAATAAACTTGACTTGAGAGTGGACCGGTTAATTTTCATTTGATTCAGTTTAAAAATGTGTTTTTATAAAGTGAGAAACCATTGACGGAACACTCCTGTTTTTCATAAGGAGCTGCTGGGGTTTGTGGTGTTAACCACAGGATACTCAGCACCCTCTCATACGCAGCAAATGACAGAGCTACTTTTTACAAGCACACTTCAAACGCCACGTCCCGTCTGTCCGGGGGAACACATCATCTCGAATAAAACACACATTTCACACACAAACATCCCCCTCTTTTTTTTTTTTTTTTTTTTTTTTAAGAATCCTTCAGTCCTCGCTCGGCGTCTTCCTTCAGCCTTGGTCTGCTGTGTTTTTAGTTGTTGTGCTTGCTGTCACCTGCCTGCTCACTGGGTTCGTTGTGCTTTTTCATGGGCTGGTTTCTGTGTTTGTATCGCCGCTTGTGTTTCTTGTTAAATACAGCACGTTTCATGTGTGTATACTCATACATAGTCATGGGTTGCTATCACTCTGATCCACATTTTATAGGTTTTTACGAGTAGCAACTGAGGAGACGGTTTTGGATCAGTCGTTATCAGCCGTTAAACTCTTCACTCAGAAAGGCACTCAGCTCTGCTGCTCTCACTAACCATTTACCGTTGCACTGGTGCTTGCTTTTTTTTTTTTTTTGCTGTTATTTTAATTTTTTTTTTTTATATAATTTCACTATATTTTCCTGTGTTCATTGTAATCATGACCTCTCGCTGTTTTAATTTCAGATTTGCATATCCACTTCCACTCCTCCCTCATTTGCATACAGCAAGAATGGCGAGCGGGCATCCCACAGACAAATTCAGTTTCATGTATCAACCAGACACGCACAAGAGGTACGGGGCACGCATGAACACACACTCACATTCTCGCTAAAACACTTTCAGAATGCCCAAATTCATCATCGGCAGGTAAGTTGGACAGAACTGAGGCGGGGTTCTTTTTTTTCTTCTTTTTTTTTTCTTCGTTTTTTTGCAGGGCATGCGGCATTAACAAAACCTCTACCCTGAGCCGGTTCTAGCACCTGAATCCATTAATAGGTTGCTCCATTCCCCCCCCCCCCCCCCCCCCTCTCCCGCGCGTAGCCTATTATCCCACCGGATGGT